GGTAATTGTTGGACCGGAAACCAGCGAACGCCTCGCAGGAATGCACATAAGCCGATCTGATCTGCGTAGCTTACACGTATCCCCGCGCGTCGATTCGTGGCCTTTAACGAACTTGGTGCCATCGATATTAGATAGGTAAGAATTTTCTGTGTCACTCGCCCACGCCCAAAATAACTAACGGTTGCGGGGACATTGAATAATTGGATGTATTCAGTGGCCATTTTGCATCTGCAACGAAGTGATCATCCTGTGTGAACACGTGTAAGCGCGATCCAATTCGCGCGGCCTACACGTATTCATAATCATTGAATACTAGGACAAGCAAGAAACTTTGGAGCCCGGAAATTCCCCCGGCCGGGTAAACACGCACTAATTTTGCAGCTTCCCAATGACGAGATGACGTACTCAACGGACTCAGATTCGTCGTGGGATGCGGAGTATTTCAACCCTTGGGTGGAAGAGTGTCTCAGACGAAGACAGTCGAGATTTCCCTACCTAATCGAAAATCGATTGTGCCCTTGGGAGTTCCACTGTGCCACAACCAGCGATCCGAGGTGCCCCGATTTTCCCACTTCGGACAACACGCACTACTTCATATCCCCCCGGCTTCGTCGTTATCTCCACCAATATCCCTCCCTTCCGTCTTCTCCTCCCGTACCACCAACTTACAGTGGTACCGTGGAATTGCATCGCCCAGTACTGGCCCCGCACGCCTTGCGAAAATTGCCGACGGTGCGGCAACCGACGAGCCCTGGAAACCAGAGGGCCTAACCCACACGCGTGACGAAAGACGCCACGTGGAGGTACCCGACGGTCTGACACATTGGAATCCCAACTGCCCCGGACGGGCTTCCCCTCGAACCACCGTCACCAAAACAGACGGATCGAACGACCTTGAATGACCTGCGCATGCCATCTGCCTTATGACCGCAAAGCGGTCCACCCCCTCAACCATATTGCGCCCGTTCCCCTGAAACTCTGCCACAGGAGATCTCAATTCTGACCTTGGAGTCCAGCCCCACTTTCCCAAAAATCCTTGGCACACCCCTTTTCGCACCATTCTCGTTTCCCCCGTTTCCCAGACTTTGGGACTTGACGACATTCTCGTTTCCCCCGTCTTCTTCGTCCGATCCCCTCCTCTTCGTCTGTGTAAGGTCTGGACCTGGCGCATTCTTCCTATGTGTAGCGCCAGGCCCTTCACACCTTGTGATGATGATGATGTATATTGGGTCTGCATTGAGACACTGATTGGGTTGATCATTGGTATCCTAGCATTCCGCTGCGCTATCTTGTACTATGTGAGCGAGGTCAGTCCTTGTTCTGGTTTGCACCATTACGATATGCAACAGTTTTGTATCTCCTCCTCTTCTCACATGTGTGAAGTATAATGGGATGTCATGTCAGTCCCAGTCAGGTCAGGACTTAAATCCAAGTCTTCCACTGCGCTACAGAGTGCCATTTTGTATGCATCAGGATGTACACTTCTTGTTGAGATTCCACTAACACTGCATTATCCATTCAGTCCTTTTTATCACTTTGCGGATCCTTGGTTGCACATACATTGCCCAACTGGGCATGTGCTGCCATTGTGAGCAAGGCTCGCTCTTCGTTGAATATCTTCTCGTGTCGTTGATTTCGTTCTTCATCGGCAGCCTTTGTTGCTGCCTCGTCTTGCTGGCGCTGTTGTTCAATTGCTAATAGACATGCCTTCTCGGCGTCCTCTGCCTTCTTCTTCCCTGCTGCTGCTACCTCATCCGCCCGTTTCTTGGCTTCGGTAATCAAAGCCAACATCCGGGCCTGATAGGCCTCGGCCAATTCCCCGGACTTCTGATTCATGCCAACTGTTTGTAAGCACGTGAGCATAGACCAGGCCGGAGGACTGCTGACGTGGCATTGTTCGGCTGCTGACATGGCATGGCTGTCGGCTGACGTGCCCTGCTGACGTGGCCTACTGACGTGGTCTACTGACGTGGCCCGCTGGTGTGGCAACTCACCAATGCCATCGCAGGGGGTACCCGGAGACAGATAGAGAAGATAAGACCAGAGGGGGCAACAACATAGGTGAGGACGGGTGGGTGGGATAAATCGCCCAGATAAGGAGCCACTAATAAAAAAAAAGAAAAGTTTGAACTTTTGGGCAGTTCGTTCTCATCACGGACTGGCAACGAGAAGCTATCTCCACTATTTTAGGGCAGAAGGGGAACGATGGTCGTGAGCATGTCATCGAATATGCGTCACGAACTGTAACAGACGAGTGGAAGAACGACTCAACTCCACGGGGCGAATGCTACGCAGTGGTTTGGGGGATTCAACACCTCCATCTGTACCTGTACGGACAAAAGTTCCTCCAGGTGACGGATCATGAGCCCCTACTAGCACTAAAGAGACTTACTAATTACACGGGCATGATTGGATGTTGGGCGGTGCGCCTATAGGAGTACGACTTCGACATCATCCATCGAAAGACGGAGAGGCACAGCAACGCGGACGGACTGACACGTCTACATTGACCAGCTAAAGTACGTAAGGCAGAAGAGATCATCCTGTGGAAGGAACGGGAATCGGTGAACGGGTCCAAGTACGGACAAGTGGCAATCCTTCCACGTGGCAAGAAGCAGGTTGGTGGCAATGGGTGATGGAAGTAACCTTACAACTCCCCTCTCTCCTCTCTCCCCCTCATCTCTCCTTTCTTTGCCTGATCAATTTTGTTATTTTTGCGAAGCAATTTCTCGCGTATACTCGGTCTCTATGCGCCCTGACGGGGAAGGATATGCGGAATGGGTAGATTGTTGACAGTGCGTCGCAAGAGCCCATGGCTCGTGCATCCAATACCGGAACGACAACAAGCCTTGGTTGTGAACCTTGTGTCGGGTTGATAAGATCCCGACCGAGGCTCGCTTTTTAGATGCCATGTCAGAAGGATTGGAAAAGACCTGGAAGTTTGGAAGGACCGAAGTATGGACGGATATTGCCTTGATTGCTACCGTAGTAGGTAGCCCCCTCCATGACTTCACCAAGGAAGATCAGAGGAGGGCCAATGAAGGGGCTCGGGACTACCGCTGGATTGAGGGACGCCTGGAAAAACGAAAAACGGATGGTAGTGGCATTTGGATGGTAGTACCGCACCCGTTCATGAGGTATGACTGGGTGAAGACAGCGCATGAGGAAACGGCTGCTCATTTTGCCGTACGAATCACGGAAGCAGCAATCGACAAAAATGAGTGGTATTGGTCCAACATTCCTGACGATGTAAAGTTCATCGTCGTGAACTGTCAGGTCTGCGCCGCCGATAAGGCACCGATTCAGCCGTCAAGATCGATAGTACCGACGGTAGTTGAGCAACCTTTTCAAACGGTTAGCATGGATACCACCGATATTGTGGTGCCCCCTGGACCCAATAGCTTTGAATATTCAATCCTACTCGTGTTCATGGACCATTTTTCGAAATGGATCGAGGCGTATCTCTGTCGTACGCTACAGGCGGCCGAAATTGCGTGATACGTCAATCGGTTTTTAGGCATGCACTAGCACATGAAGGAAATTCTAACCGATAATGGGGTAGAATTCAGGGGAGAAGTCCTGAGGAATCTGGTCGTGCACGGCGTCGCTATTCGGAATACCGCACTCCATATGTCGCAATCCAACGGGCTGGTAGAAAATGCAAATAGAGTGATAAAGACTGCGCTACGACGCAATATCACGGCGCGGGACCCCAGGCCCTGTCCAGATATTGTAGATCACATCCTAGCGGTCCATCGAGGGACGCCCCATGAATTGACGGGCCTGAGCCCCTTTCAGTTGAGGACCAATAGCGTGGCCTGTGTTACAATACCAAGCCTTCCAGACGAATCTTCGCTGAACCGACGGCCCACAAGGGCCACGGTTCACGATAAGGCCGAACGACACTCGGAGTTGATGGAGCGGTCCCTGCCCCGATTAGCCCGAAAGCGCCAGAAAATGACTGAGTTGGCCCACGGCAGGCAGGTCCGTAGTTACGAGGCCCGAAACGGAAATGCGGGTCCACGGCCCCAGTACAAATTAGGGGACTTGGTGCAGGTAAGGAAATGTGCTCGCCAAGGTAAGATAGCGCCACGATTCTTTGGGCGATTCCAAGTGATTGAGCTTGGACCGAACGGATTGAACACCATGCGCCTTGTGCCGGAGGTCTCAGGGAGCCGATCGACACGGCCGATCGTTTATCATGTGTCTTACCTTCGTCCCCTCCCTTCCTCCCCATCTCCTGCACCTTCATCTTCTTCCTTCGCTATGAAAGAAGACAACGACTCTCTATCACCTTCTTCCTCCCCTGCATCTCTTGCCTTTTCCCAAACTCCGTCCCCACCACCATCGCCATAAGCTTTCTCACAGAGCGAGCCCTCGGTGACCATCTCTTAGCGCCACGAGGTTACATCGCAGCAATTCGGCAGGTTCGTCATCCACGGTTCAATCTGGATCTTCTACGACTGGCGCAGTTCTTCTCAACTTCGGGAGTGCACACAGCGGCCGAGTTCCGATTCGCGGGCAGTCCTCAAGTGGTCGTGCTGGCAGAAGCGGTGGCTGTCCATTGGCGGTCAGCTCCAGGGATTAGCCACGTGTTCACAGTCGTCAGCTTCAGCGGCCATATCAGTACGGTCAGTGCGCTACGACATACAGTCATTCGGACATCATTGAGGGAGTGAGCGCAACAACTGGCGACGGAGTGGAACCACTGGCTTACGCGCCACGGGGATAATCTTTTCCCCACGGACAACATCGATCTTGGTGGAATTCGCGTGGCATAGCACGAGCCAGCGGTGGTGCTGCCGGAACTCATCCCCTTCCAGTGTCCTCGATGAACCCCTCCCAACTCTCCACCTTCGCTCTCCCATCTCTCTTTCCCACCTTCTGGCAATCTAGTCTCCACCCTCGCCTCTCCTTCTGCCTGGAGCCGCTCGCTGTCCCCCTTCTCGATCCCGCGCAGTAGAGGCTCTGGCGGGAACACTTCGTCGATCTTTCGGTGTGCCTAGTCGAAGTACGAATCACTTGGACAAGGGACGAAGAACACCGTGAGTGGTTTGAGTACTTGGAGTTGATGATCGTTCAAGCTTGGAGGACGGACATAGAAGGCGATCTTCTCAAATTCCTGTTCGGATCAGTGCGCCCCAGCCATCGCCAGCTGATCATCGTGGAGCTGACGGTCCCCCTTGCGGAGTTAGCAGACGACCTCCCACTTGAGATCATCTCGCAAAGTGACAACAGCCCGGTTCCGCACGTCCTCACACGGACTCTAACGGCGTATCTTCAGTGGTCCGCGCGCCAGGAGGAGCTGGGGACCAGCTGCAACCTGCCGTTGCAACGGGATTATCTGGACCCGCGGGAGATCATCGATCTCGCCATCTTCCAAGATCGGGCGACCTATGAGGACATAGAGATAGCGATCAAAGAAGAAAGCGTTGACGACGAAGAAGAAGAAGAAGCCGCCGAAGAGGACGAGGAGGAAGAAACCCCGGAGGAAGGCAGTTATAGTGAACACAGTGAGGGAGAGCAGAGTGAGGAGGAGGAAGAAGACAAGGAAGAAGAGGAGCTAGAGCTGGAGGAGTCGGAGTGGGAGATTTCGACGGAGGAAGCGGAGCAGGCGAACACTCCGGCGGAAGACCCCGAAGCGGCGCGCAAAAGAGAGGAAATCTCGGCCGGGAAACGACAGCTGGAGTTTGCCAGCACAACAAATTTGCCGATCACCGACGATCCGGCCCGCGATCCAGAACTGCCTAAGCCTAAAGATGGAGAACACGCCGAGACTTCGAGCACACCGGCAAGGCGGCGACGAAGCCGATCCTCCTCCCCCTCCACCTCTGATTGTCCATCAGTTCGAGCCCGTACTCATGCGGGGCATCGGGCTTCGTCCCGGGCCATTATCCTGTCGTCCCCTTGACCATCTCACCCTCCGACAAATCACCACCCGTGTCACCTTCCCCCGCAACCCCTTCCCCATCTACCCCTTCTGATTCTTCTACGCCACCCGTCTCGTTGTTACCGTCCACCCCCACCCCTCAACCCGATGCGCCCTCCCCGATTTCTGCCTCCACACCCTTCTCTTTAGTGCCGCGTGACGAGGCCACAACATGATTGAAGTTTATTGCATGATTACAGGGACTATCCCAGCATGGGAAAACCATGATCATTTTCGCGTGACACTCTTCCGCACCTTTACCACGCTGTATCCGGACTATCTCGCCTCCCTCCCTCATACTGGTAATCGCTTCCCCCGCTTCCATAGGATCGTTCGTTACCAAGAGCTCCCGGAAACAGTAGCCCAGGTGGAACGGTTCATACCCCCGCTCCCAATCAACCCTCCCCCTTGCCATGCCCCCATTTATCATCTCCCCTTCCCCCTCCCCGATGGATATTGATGATCGACTGATTGGTGTGCGTGCCACAGCGATGGCACGAATAGTCCCCTCCTTGGATTGACAAAAGCCCTCCTGAGGAAATTGTAGTACAGAGCTTGCATGCCACGTTGGATGACGTCCACACTCCTTCACACGGTAAGTGGCAGCGAAGAAAGCTCCGCGTGTCGATCGATTCGAGAAATCGACACGTGTCACGATTCAAGCAAGCAGGAGCGCTTAAGATTGGAACCCCCTGGGCGTCACATATGTGACGAACCACTTTCTGTTCCGCGTGATTTTTTGCGCGGTAGCAACGAGGGGTCCTAAGCTGGGTAGGATGGGCCAATTACTAGAGATCGGGATGGGAAGGAAATTCCATCAGTGTCCTCGCTTCTTCGTCCTTTTTGTGTCGGTTCTTTTTTATGGTTGAGTTCGGGGCCGGGCAAGTCCCGGGGAAGATCAATGAGTGATGCGCCACCATCGAGCGCGCGAATAATTCTGGTTGACGTCATTCCTTTTCGTTCTCTGTTGGTAGATTTTAGGCGCGAAGATCGCGCGGGAATTTGTGCTTCGTTCTTTTTGAATTTTCCTTTCGAATCTTAACGAGCCTCAATGGATCGCAAAATTTCACACTTTCTTTTCGAAATTTGTCCTTCTTCTCGCATTTGCTAGGAATTTAGAAATTCCGGGAATTGGTATTTTCCTTTGCTGCGCAACGCTTTTTGCATACGAGCTTCTTTTTGTGGCTGCAAAGGAACTCTGATTAGTCGACGCCCTTAATCGTGTGTGTAACTGTAACTTTGGGCAGGCGCCATCGTAACTGTATCTTTTTTCTTGTGCTTCGTCTTTCCTGCCTTCGCTTCTTCTTGCTGTGTCTAGCCAGCCCGCGGACTGCATGATCGGATCGATGAGTGGAGAAAGGCAAAGTCCCCCACGCCGAGGTCTGGCCATGTAGAACGTAGGCGCTTCCTCTGCTAATCCCTTTCTAAGTCCTTGCAATTTCGTGTTCTTCGCGCATGCATGCACGCTATAAATTCCGGCTGAGCGATTAGATAGCTCTCTTAACCAGTTATTGGAAGCTCGGGGCAGCGCGATCAGTGAGGGTCGGCGCACGGGCGAAGTAAGAGGTGAGTTGAAGTGGGAGTTGGGCGACCTGGCGAGCTGGTGCCGAACGAGTGGGGATGACACGGGCCACGACAGACTGTGGGCGCGGACGAACTTGACGGGTGCGGGAGGACTAAGCGGGGTGACGACTTCGTGGGTTGGTGCGCGACGGCGGTCTGTCCGGATCGGAAAGAGAGAGAGAGAGAGGAAGAGAGAGCTGAGGTTGATGAACGTGGATTTGCAGTTTTCTTTGTCTGTCCTTACTCCTTGCCTTTGTATATAAATTTTGATCTCGGTTCTGGGCGATTTGCCCGCTTCTCTTTTGTTTCCGGAATTTTGGATTGGTTTTGACTCACACTCGTTTTGCATTTGGTATCCATCTCGCTTGTTTTGTCGAATGAATGCATGAATGCTTGCGTCTGTGCTTTTCTTTGGCTTAATCCTTACTCTTGATACGCTCATAAGCATAAGTAGGAACTTTTGCGTAGCTATCAATACTGTTTCCATTGCTAGTTATCCTTCCCATCGAGCCACGACGATTGCTGAGATGCCTTATAAGACCTTGCACGATTGTGTATGGGATTATGAAGGGATCAGTGATTGGATGAGTAGGTCGTTGTCAGTCCGGACGCAAGCGAATGCCTCGCGGGGATACGCCTAAGCGCGATCTGATCGGAGCAGCCTACACGTACTCCCGCGCGACGATTCGCGATCACTCGCGCATAGAATGACTGACGATTGTGGATGATTGGATGTATGTTGGGGCCGTCTTGCATACGTGGTGAAACGATCATTCCGTGTGAACACACATAAGCGTGATCTGATTTCGCACGGCCTACTCGTCCTCACACGCGGTGATCACAATCCTTAAGGACAGGCGCAAAATTCCTGGACGACGGGCCCGGAATTTCCCCACCCGGGTAACCCCGCACTTAAGAACTTAGCGGTCTCCCAATGACAAGATGACGTACTCAAGGGACTCAGACTCTTCGTGGGACCAAGAGTATTTCAACCCTTGGGTGAACGAGTGTCTTAGACGGAGACAGTCGGAGTTTTCCTGCCTAACTGAGAATCGATTGTGCCATAGGGAGTTTCATTGTGCTACGACCAACGATCCGAGGGGCCCCGACTTCCCCACTTCGGATAACATGCACTACTTTATATCCCCCGACTTCGTCGTTATCGCCACCAACTTCCCTCTGTTCCGCCTCCTTCTCCCGTATCACCAGCTCACAGTTGTCCCGTGGAATTCCATCGTCGAGTATTGGCCCCGCACGCCTTGCGGAAATTGTCGGCGACGCGGCAACCAGAGAGCGCCGGAAACCCGAGGGCCTAACCCAAACGCGCGACGACGGACGCCACGTGGCGGTACTCGACGGTCCGACTCTTCGGAAGCACACCCACCCCGAACGGGTTTCCCCTCCGGATCGAACGACCCTTACCATCCCACGCATGCCATCTGCCTTATGACCAGAAGCGGTCCGGCCCCCCCAACCAAATTGCACTCGTGCCCCTGAAACCCTGTCACAGGAGATCTCAGTTCTGACTTGGGACTCCACCCCCACTTTCCAAAAATCCTTGGCACACCCCTTTTCGCACTTCCAGGCCCACACCTTACTCTGATCAAGAAGTCGCGTTGGGCATGAGGTTGGGCGTCATAGTGTTCTGACTTTTCTACGCCTTAATCTCGCGTGTAACTATAATCTTTGTTTTGGCGGGCTTGATTGCAGCTATAATCCTTTTGTTCTTGATATCTTTTTTGGCACCCTTGTGCGCACATACCTCTCCCCCATCCTATTGGCCCGAACACTTGCATGACCGGATCGATGTGAGGAGAGTGGCTACTTCCCCCACGCCGCGGTCTGGCCATGTAGGTGTAGGCACTCCCTTCCTGCTTCCTCCCCCCTAAACACAATCCCGAGTATCTTGCGCAAGCATGCATGCTATAAATTTCGCAAGCGCAATTAATTCGCTCTCTAATCATGTTTGGAAGTTAGCGTTGTCGAGAGGATCAACTAACAAGTGAAAGTTGGCAGGTGAGTAGAGAGTTGGGCGATCCGACGAGCTGATGCTGAGCGTGCGGGGTTGACATGGGGCCGTGACGGACATTGGCACACGAGCATACTTGGCTGGCATACCGGATCAAGCGGGGTGACAACCATGTGTGGGTGCGAGGCGACGGACTGCCCGCATCAGGGTGATGTGTTTGTGTGTGTGTGTGTGTGTGTGTGTGTGTGTGTG